CCGTGCTGCTTTGCATATTTCCGAATCAAAATTGAGCAGCTCTTTATCGTTGTCTCGACTCATCAACTAAACGACAATTGCAACTTTATATACAATTATCCAGATAGATCGAAAATTACTAAATAAAATAGTATTACTTTCTCTATCTAGCAATTATGAGTAAATGTATATATAGATACACATTTAATTAATAAATTATAATTGAACATTTAATTTTATTCAAAGATTCACATTTATTATATTATAATTTAAATATCTATTTATTGCTTGCTTAGAAATAATTTTCATATATATTTTGTTCTATTTTATTGTTTTATTTTTGCCCAAAAAAGGCAATTTGCATATTTATTTATTTTCTTAGGATCGAAGTTTGCCCTCATATTTTTAATTTAAATGTGATTTATAAAAGGTGTTAATGGAAAAGATAAAAATATGTTCAAACGTTGAATAATAGGGCAATTGGGGTAACAGAAACTTCGATCTTTATAGTTAGCTGTTTGGGCTTTCAGTAATAGTAAAATACATTTTGTACTAATGCGTATTACCAATGACCCGAAACTTGACAGGAAGTTGCACGACTTTGCTCAGTACCCCTATGTATATATATGTAAATACACATATATGTAGTTATTTGTATACAGTTAATAACTCTCTTGCATATAAATGTATGTATATATTTCTCTCTCTCTCTATATATATATATATATATATATATATATATATATATATATATATATATATATATTTATATTGATATGTATATATATATTTATATTTCTTTTGTTTTCAAATTCTTGTGAGGCAACTTCGCATATTTTTTCCTGAATATATTTTTATTTTGTTTCTCGTTTTTGTTCATATATAATGTACATTTTACTGTGGTTGCTGTTGCTGTTACTGTAGGGGTCTATTGATAAGACCCGTCATTGCCCGTCGACCGCGTACACACATTCATAATGTGACATACATATGCACGACTCGAGGCACCGCAGTTTCTGCTATGGTGGCACAACTCTGCTCCGAAACACTTACACATGCCCACCCAACGTATATAGCGTACTTATATGTAAATACATATGTACGTACGTATACATATACCGTGTACATACGTTTGTGGAGCACTTGTTCAGCGACAGCGACCCCAAAACCTACCCCCGTGCCCATACACAATGTAGCCACTGGCCCCTCTACCAAGCAATGAAACCGCCTCCGTCTTTGCCTCTGCCTGCGCCTTAGCCCGCGCCTGCGCCTGCGCCTCTGCCTCGGCCTGCACTTGCTCCATGTTGTTCGGAGCCATCGTCGCTACGCGTTTGAGTTCGTTGTTCGTCATGCTAGCTTCATGTGATCGTCATATTTCTTCCTCTTTTTCAAATATACAATTATATACTTATAGTTATTTAGTATGCACAGTCTATATGCTATGCTACTTATTTAATGCTCCAAGTTCTAGGGCACTAGTAACTAACACTACTGAAAATATAAAAAGTATATATCCGTATTACTTAATTATTATATATGTACATACATGTATATAATGTGCTTATATGTACATATGTATCTAAAAAACGTAGTTATTATAATTAGAATAGCAATCTTTAGACGTTTCATTCCGAAACAAAGGATCAGCATTTGAGAGGAAAGAAAAATTATCTAATCATTTACTTGTAAAAATAAGAGTTTCCTTCTTGGAAATATTGCTAGATTTATGTATTTTCTATATTGTATATAGTATAGTTAAATGAAATCCATTGAAGCACTCACCATACAACACGTGCGTCATTATGACGCGTGCAAAGCCCAGTTGGGAATAACTCGATCGATTGGATAGTAATCCACGGTTAGGATCAGATCCGTTGCGCTCATTATGAGGGGCGTTCGAGTAGACACATGTGGTCTATGGCTGATGATGAGCTCGAAGATCGGGCATCGAGCATCGGGCATCTGGTATACACACACTTACACGCACGGTGGTTGAGTCGCATGTTAAGCAAGCGTTAAATTTGTAATTTGTTAGCGCGTTTGCGTTTGGGCTCGTTTTGACATTTTCGTAGGCGTCAACCTTGTTTATGCGACCACATAAATGTGTCACAGACAACTCTTTTGGGGTATTCCGGGCGCCCCTTGGGCTGTTGTTTAAACTCCGTCACGTTTTGTGGTCAAATATTTTTACCAAAGGATTTTCCATGCGCCGGCGCAACAATTTTCCATAACGAGATTTCGCGCTAAAAATGTTTGCCTTGTTGCACGCCCACCGGCAGTCGGCGTGATTATCACCCGGCACGGCCCACAGGAAACGAGAGACGGAAGATGGAAGACGGCACCCGCATCTGTCCGACCGATCGGAGCTGAAGCGATCCGAGCGGCGACTTACTACTACAACTTTTCAAATGCTACTCGTGAGACTCAGAGCCCGGTTCCACCAAAGCAATACGAGTAAAATATTCTTGATTAAAACTTATCAGAGCACATTTCATATCACCTTTTCAAAAACGCAACACACAACAAAAACAACAACATCAACAACAACCAGCAACAGTCAACACCCAATGAGTAACGCTCGTCAGCTCGGTAGCTACTTTATTATCGGAGCAAACGGTCGAACTCGTTCCCCGATTCCCCGATTTCCCTTCTTCACATTCCCTGCTGCCACGGTGAGTGTAGTTTGGCTGCCTCTCCGATTGGACAACCGCAAGATATGGCTATCTGAGCCGGCACATTATGCCACCCAGCCCCACAGACGCCACAGAGCAAAAAGAGAGTGAGAGTGAGAGCGAGAGAGAGAGAGAAGGAGAGAGACGGGGACCAAACCCGATTTGATTAAGTTGCATCACGCGTCGGTCGCGCGACTATACTTATCGGGCCAACTGTATGTCTCTCCCTATATACATATAAGTCACGTATGTGTGCGCGATTATGCCTCCATATATCCTTATCAATATTTCTATACGTTTGGAAAGGTTTTGTTTTGGTGACGATGACAACGGAAACTTGGGAAACACCGCCAACACTGATTGCCACTATCTGAGATGTTCATGTAAAAGCGAAAGATTGCAGCATTTACGGAAGGAAGATCTAATTGCAAATAGTTATATGACTTAATTAATAATTATTTTCCTATAAAAATCGCTTTTGTGGTGGTGGCTCTGCTATCTGTTCAAAAATTGTTTTACCGAATGTCTGGCAAACCATAAACTAATATATAATTCATATTTTTGGTAAGATTAAATATGAATATAAAATTATTATTATAAACAAATTAACACATACAGTAAAAATATTTTTTTAGGTATTATTATATATATATATATATATTGTATTTTGCATAATTAAATTCTGACCTCTGAGGCTTGTATACATGTGTACATACAAGAAAAAGATCCGGCTTCTGATCATGCTTAGAAACTTAATAAATCATATGTTTTATTTATAAAACATCAACAGCTTTTATTACAAAATTATCTATGAAATTATGAAATCAGTTAAGAATTAGGTAAATATTCGTTAAAGTGTAGAAAGGGCATACCCAAAAACTTATGATGACTAATTTCAAATTTGTTGCTTGTAGCATAAAAATCAAGAAACGCACCAGAATGTCTGGGTATCTGCAAAATTCAAAATACAAAGTAAATAATACAAATAAATAAGTAAACAACATGAATAGAACGATAAACGGAATGAGAAAGGGAAGCTACTTTGCCATATACAAAACGCCGCTCGCCGTGACGTCACAGTAACTGATAAAAAGAAAGAAAAACACATACACACACGCAAAGAAAAGAAACACATATTGCAAGCTGTGATAAGGAGCAGAGAGTAGCCGAGATTGTCAAACAATGGGTAGAAAAGTCAGATAAGAAGGTAAACAACCTGCATGCAAAAACTTTAAGCAGGCGCCGTGGTCAGCCTAGAAAGAGAGAAAAAAGGGCCCGGATCATAAGGCGATAATAATGTGTGGGTGTGGGTGTGGCAGCGGCCTATCGAAGGGAATAGACGGCAATAACAACGACCAAAGCCCGGAAGACGTACTACGGGCAAAAGATAAAAACCAAATGCTGTAGACGCCAGACGCCAGACTCCCGACTTAAGACTCGGACAACATAAAGGTCATATAGTACAGCCATTGGAAACTGAAATATACATAAATACATATATGTATATAATAAATATGTGCATATGCAAACGCCAGAGCTAAGAACATGGCTGCTCCCGAAGTAAATGCCCGTCGACTTAGTTTATCAGCGTTTTCTTTCTTTTGTTTGGCTTTGTTGCATTGTTTTGCCTTTTGGGTGCCCAGCGATAATTTAATTTAAATATAAAATATTAATGCTCATTTAAAAAGAATTAAAAGCGGGAATTACAATAAGCGAAACGACAACCAGATAAGCCGAGTCGAGCAACAACAACAATAAATCAGTTGGAAAATACCAAAGAAATTGAAAAATGCGCCGAGGCTAAAGCTTGAAGATCGGTTCGCATTGACGACATAAATAACCTACTATATATGATATGTATATATATATACATATGCATATATATATACATATATATATATATATAATCTTTAGCCGCATCATCGTGACGGTGTCGTTGAAGATAAGTAAGAAGATTTCAAAAATAAAACCAAACGAAAAAAACTAAACAAAAAATTGAAAAGTAAAAAAAAAATAAAAATTATTGAAATATGTAAAACGCCTCTAGAGGTTTGCTATGGGGTCAATTGTGTTTATTAGCTGTGCTCCATGCTCATAAGTAATGTTCGACTGCTGATAAGATAGAGCCAAGCATTCAGCTCTGGGAGGAGCAACAGGCAACTAACTATAAACTCAAATAGATTGAAATTGTATGTGCTGCACTGAGTTCAGCTGGAATTGTACTTTTTAGAGGTCCTCGTTTTTACTGTAAAATGTTTTATTTTGTATTTTTGCAGAAATTTTTGTTTAAAATTATATATTCAAAAGCATATATAATTTATAATTGATTGGAATTAAAGCTTTGGCTATAGAGTATTATTTATTATTACATTTTAACACAGTTTAATATTCCACTTTACCTGTAACTGGCAATAATATTATAAGCGTAAGTATGTATATATTTAAAAATAAATGAAGAATTTGTATGTATTGTTTATAAATAAATAACTCATTTTTATAAATATATATATTTCATATGCTCAACTACATTTATAATATTTTTGTCATCCGAAAAGAGAAATTTTTAATATTATATAAATGTATTTTCCTTTCAAAAAAATATTCATAATTCAATCAATATTTAAATTAGTTTTTTATCATTGACTTTTTATTATTAGGATTTCCTTGCATTTTTGGAACTAGTTCAGTGAAAGTGAGATTTGTAAAAGACGACAACTCCGTTCCGTTGTTTAAGTTTATAAACCATATGATAAGGCCGCTACACTTGAGATTTTAGATAAGCTCATTTGCCGGCAACGCAAACACATAGAACACCGATTAGTTTTCATAGAACCACGTTACGGATCAGTCTTTAAGCTTACAGCAGCATGTCGCAGAAGGATAATTTTACATTTCGTAGGGCTGAAAAAACGGATATGAAAGCAGTGATCGAAATGATACAAGTAAAGTGTATTTAACTAAATATATTTAATAAATACAATATTGAAAAGTTAACTGAACTCTACCCAAGGAACTGGCCGACTTTGAACGCATGAGCGATGGCCCCCAGCTGAGCGAGCAGGGTGAGTAGAAAATTAGAGAATAATTTGTCACCTTGTTGATTGTTTGCCCACATGCAGATCTGATACGTGATTCGGGCTTAGATGGCGGTCACGAATATTGTCAAATCTATGTGCTTACGGACAATGCCACAAAGTAAATGAGGACAAATAAATGTTAAGACGAGAGATCATTGGCTAGCCAGGCGTCAAGCTGAAAGACGCAACGCAAATGTTTACTGATCAAACCAAATAGGCAAATGGGAAATCTGTTTGGCAAACATTTGTGCTCGCTGTTTGACTCGGCAATCGGATAACATTTTGACGGCATTAAATCAACATTTTAACATTTCTTTCAACAGCTCCAGCATTGGCTATGCGATCTGCTTCTACTCGTACTCCACCTGGCAAGGCCGTTCCCTATTTCTTGAGGACCTCTATGTGCGTCCAGCTCATCGTGGGCAGGGCACCGGTGCACGAATCTTTCGGGAGGTAGCCGCAATTGCGGTTCGATTGAGCTGCCGACGATTGGACTTTCATGTGCTTAGTTGGAATCCGGCGTGTGAATTTTATAATCGCCTAGGCGCAACGAATTTAACCAAATCTGAATGCTGGCAGTTTTACCGTGTAGAGGAACAACAGTTGGCAAAGCTAGCTAAAGAATTAAACAGTTAACGAGTTGGATCTTAACTTGATCTGTCTATTATTATGTTGCGCTTATTAACAATAAATAATACTTTGTTATATTTATTTGGCTGTTCACTGGTCACCGCTGACACTCGCTATGACATGGATCTGCATGCTTTTGGTTGAGTTGTACACCTGGCCGGGGGGAAACGGATGTACCCTGGAATGGGCATCTGATTTATTTTTGCCACCCGCTGTATACTTGGACAGTCGTATACTGGGCATGGGAAGAAAGCCCGTGCTTAACGGCATAACATCCAGCGATATCGAATGGCAGTCCACATCCTTCATCGATACAACGCCTGAAAAATTATTAAATGAAAATTATTAGAATATCATAAAGTGAATCACAAAAATGCAAGCATAAATTTGTCGTCGATATGGGCCAATAATTGCTTAACTGTAGGGAAAGCAAATTTCGGTTAAACCGAAGTTTAAATTTACTACTAAAAGAACGTCTAAAAGTTTACCTATTATGACTACTCTCTCATAAAATTATATTATAACTAGTTTTGAATAAGTAACATCAGTTATTTAAATCTGAACATTCTATGAGAGCTGTTAATGTTTAGTGTAAATTTAAATTTAAGTAATGGATTTAATATTTCGAAAACAATATTAATTTATAATGAAATATAATATATGAAGGATTATTTAAATTTCATTTAAAGAAGTGACTGAGATACCTCAAATAATATGAGTGCCTACTTGTAGTAAGCTTTCAGACGTTCGATTATTTTCGAATGCTTTAATGTTGGGTTAATAGATCTAAATGATCGCCACTACGTGTGTTCATAAACCAAAAAACTTACCCATGTCTTAATATGCATTTAAGTGTATATCACGTGTCGGGAAATTAGAATTAAATAATAAGCGAATGGAATAATCCAGTTAAAGGAGATAAATAACGACTTACCAGCAGAACGCCCACATACGGCCCACAGATTCTGATCATTAAGCACCTCGTACATTAGATCAACATATGGGTTCTCATTGATTTTAGTTATCTTTATATTCAAATTGCAAACAGTGCGCAGGCGACAGAGTTCGTTCGGCTCAAGCTGTGCCTGCAGCTTGAAAAGCGTTGAATAGTCAACCAGATCGAAGGCACAGCCATAATTCCGCCAAACCTGCGGCTGAGATGGAGTGGCATACTTGACCACAAAGTGCACCTTGACGATGGGTAGTTCGTGCTCCGCTTTCAGAGGCTCTACTTGTATCTCATACAGATATGTGACCGTCAACGATTTATAAATTTCCTAAAATTGCAAGAAATGGATAAATAACATTTTTTAAACTGTTTTGCTGACTTACAATTGGGGTCTGCGACTCAGGATTGAGATCGAGCAGCCGCACGCCGGCTACATCACACTTCACCTTGGCGTTCTGCAGCAGTAGCCGTGCATCCAGACCCTTCATAATGACTTGCAGGAACTTTTGTGTGCCGCACGTGTGCAGCCGGCACGTCGCCTCCATGGCGGGCTGAAATTCAATGGGTATTTGAATATCAGTGCGCGACCAGGGACAACTGAGCGTTATATGATGCTCGTGATGTTTTCCCACTTTACGACCAGGCATATCGGTAAGCACCTCAAGCGGTATGCAACGCTCCTCGAAAGATTTGAATTGAAGCAAAGGAAACTGCAAAACATTGTCGAAGTTGGCATCGCTATTGCTGAGCGTCCCATCTGATTCGAGAGCCTGTCGTACGCGTAAATTCTTGGAGCAGCGCAATGTGATCTTTGCATCTGCTGGAAAGATGAAACTGCCGCCGGCAACATTCAAATTAATGGGCTGTATAATGCCCGCAATAAGTGTCTTGAACTCCAGCGAGGCGCTTGCTGGCTTGGTGCATATCTCGAAGCTAGGTGGCTGTAAACTCAACGGCAATTGCTCCGAGAGAAACTCTAGACTGGACATGCTAATGCATAACTGCTTAAACTGCCAACGTCCAACACGAGTTGCCTTACCCTTTAACTCGATTAGATTGATGCCCGGCTGCAGGGCAGTGTTCTCAATCTGCACGATGTTGGTGAAGTCAGCCTGAACGCTGGGCGAGAGTTTGCGCTTGGTGCTGCTGGTGCGTCGTACCGGTTGTTTTGTTTTCGGCGTGTCACAAACGACCGAGGCACAGTTCAACGTATTGTCCTGCTTATGGAAGAGCTGTAAAGACACCTTTAGCTGCGATCCAGAATCTTTCAGAGCTACTTCCTGCATGCCGTCCTCCAAATAGTTTGCTAAATGCAGCTCATAACAAAGCTTTATGCATTCAACTACAATCTCACGCGGATAAAGACTTTCCAACTTTAGTTGCACCAGCAGGTGGTCATCTTGTATAATTGTCTTTGAATTAAGCACTTCGATGTCTAGCGTGCGAAAATGATCCTCCAGCACGCAGTAGTTGGCATTCTCAATGGACGGCTGCGCCGATAAAGTTGTGTCCAGCGATTTCAACGACTTGAGGAACTCGTCAAAATAGAAGGTGCGCACGAGAATTTCCAGTTCGGCACAGCACGATATGGAGCTGCAGGTTTTGGTGTAGGCCAACGAATCCCCCATCTTTCGATAACAGTTGGCCAGTTCCAACAGCGTCTGTGAGCTAAGCATATGCCAGTTTTCTGCTCTCAATTCTCGCAGTAAGTCCGTAAAGAAACCCACCGCTTTATGCGGCTCATTCAAGGCGCAATAGAATTTACCCAAATCGAGACCAACCAACCGAGCAGATCTTAAGCGTGTCACGTGTTTATAGGTGCTGATTGCTAGCTCCGCCAACTCCAGATAGAGCTTCTGGAATGTTTGATTCGAGCCCAAGGCCTCTTTGAGCTGTTGCGCCGCCGACAACTTAGGTTTTCGATTCGGCGAACGATCACGCAGTTGCGGCATAGCCTGCAGGAACTGTTGCTGCTGCTGTGGTGGTGCATCACCAATGCCCGATGAAAGCTGCACCACAATGTGCAACTGCTCAGAAGTTGGCGTGCAGCCTGGCAATAAGCCACACAGTTTACCCAGCTCATACAGCTTGTCCTTGGCCAGATTCCAAATCGGTGCGCAGTGCTGGAAACACGTCACTTCATTAGGTTCCATCGCCTGTTCACAAAGCTGCAGCACTTCCAGAGCGCAGACAAACTCCCAGCAGCTCAGCGCTCCCTCCTGGCAGTCTAGTTTGATATACTCCACCTCACGCAACGTGGAGAAAAGGAAACCTAGTAAACGTTTCGCTATTTCCGGTATATTATTGCATGTGAGCAATAAATAGGCTTGTCTCTCAAACAAATAGTTACGGAATTCCAATAGTGAGACTCCCTCATTCCGTATTTTCTGACGCATCTCGAACTTGTCCACGCGGCTTAAGCAGATGCCATGAAACGCTGTAAGCGGACGCTTGAAATACGCCAGCCATTGTTGCTTCTCATTGAAGCCCGTGTGCGTGATAAACTGTGAGAACATGGCATCCAGTTCATCATATTGTATTAGTGCTTCTGTCGGAAGTTCCAATTTCTCAAATATCAGTGCCAGATCCTCCTGCATAAAGAAATATTGACGAAAGTCCCAATCATCCTGATTGCGTTTTTCTCGCTTGCTCCGTATTAACTCCTCGTATTTGGCTATATTGCGATTGTAACTGGCGAGCATTAGGAAGCGAATGCGTTGCACCAAGCAGCGAAAAGATTCCGTCGATTTCTGCTCAAACTTAGCTGGATTCAATACGGAAATGCAACGATCATCGTTTTTACTACCAAAATCTAAGCGTATTTTATCCAGCACCGTGGTACGTGGCAATAAGTTCTTCGTTTTGCGCATGTCCAGCGTCTCCACCAACAAGATCATCCAATCGGATATACCATAGCTGTTTAGCAGCTTAAGCCACGATTCAATTTCCTCTCTTATCGTTGCCTTGTATGTATCAATGTCCTACAAAAAATACGAAATAAAAGAAATCTATGTAAAAACTCGCTTTACTGAATGATGATACACAAATCTTGCTCACTTATCCGCCTCATAAACATCCCCAATCACACAGTCACACCCACATACATACTTACATTACACTCTGTAACAAAGATGTGCAATATGGGGTGTTCAAGTATGCTCCATTCTCCAAGCTTATATCGCTCCAGTGGTTCGATACTGAACTGCTGAGTTTGAGCCTCCAAGCGAACATGTTTGGTTGGTCTTTGGAAGGTGCGTCGCCATTCGCAAGTATCCAATGGGATCGCATTTAGTATTTGCGCTTCAAGCGATCGGAAAAGCGGAAATGAGCCAGAATCTGTAAAGAGCCACATTTAAGTTTAATCAATTGTATTACAGAAGCACACTACTTACATGTTATAATTGGCTTTATCTGCATTCTAAAGTCAATTTATTAATAGTTTATTTTCATTTGGCGACAGCACAAAGCAAACAGTCAACGTACAACACGATAACAGCTGATATCGCTGCAAGAGTAACATATGTTTTTGGCATGAAACTTAACATTTCGTTTAATTTTAATTAACAGCCAACGGTAATTCTGCAGTAATTGCTTCTTTCAGCAATGGTACGAGAAATTAACGATCAATAGTTAGCATAAAAATTATGTAATGATTAAAAGCAAGATTATTATCAAGATTATTATGAATGCGCGAGCGCCGAACTTTAACTAAATTTGAATTTAACAGTTGATTTTTAACAGTAAAATTAGATAACAGCTTCATGGTAATATTAGTGTCGTTAGACTGTTGTCAATTATATATCGATACTCTAAATTCATCGAACAGCTGACAACGGGCGAAAGTTGAGGTATTGTTAGGGACAATGCAATACAAGTGTATAAAACTAATTAAGTTTTACGAATAAACAATCAAAAAACACGTACATATTAAGATAGTTTAATGTTTAAGTGAACAGACAGTTTGCAATTACGAACTATGGATATGGCTAGAAGCATATTTGGTCGCGACCACGAGGGTTACGTAGGCCGTGAAGAACATACGGTAACATTTCAATTGAGATGATAGATTGCTTATCAAACTAATTAAAATTGCTCATTTTCCACGCTGCGAACACAGCGTAAAATGCAGACCTTGAGCTCTGACGATGACATAGGGGAACTGCCAACTATGATGGAAGAACTGAGCGTTGCTGATGGCTTACGTCCAAACCCTGGCGGACCCTTTTCAGCCTTGACACCTTCAATGTGGCCACAGGAACTGCTAGCTAAGCTGGGAGGCGAATCGGAACTTGCAGCAGCGGGGCCAAACGATCAGCCCGACTACCGCTTTGATGAGTTTGGCTTTCGCGTTGAGGAAGAGGATGGCCCAGAACAAAGCTCAAATAAACTGCTCAGCATACCTTTTGTTGAAGATGCACAGCAGCGTTTGCAGTGGATCGCACACCTGGAATTCGCCCACAACAAAGAGGTCAACGAACTGAGCTGGGAGCATGTCGACCAACTGTTGCAGCGTACGGAAAAACTACGCAAAATGGTGCAGAATGGTATTCCACATAGTCTGCGGCCACAAATGTGGATGCGTCTATCCGGTGCGCTCTCCAAAAAACAAAAAAGCGAAACGAGCTATCAGGAAATTGTCAAGGGTTAGTAATACGTTAGGCAAGCAAACAGACTAATACATCTTCTCCTACTTCACAGCTTCCAGCAACGATCAGTTAATGACATCGAAGCAAATTGAAAAGGATTTATTGCGCATATTGCCTACAAATGCGTGTTTTAGCCATCCAAATGGAACGGGTATACCACGATTGCGTCGGATCCTGCGCGGCATTGCGTGGCTATTTCCGGATATTGGTTACTGCCAGGGCACCGGCGTTATTGTCGCTTGTCTGCTGCTGTTCATGGAGGAGGAGAATGCATTTTGGATGATGGTTACCATTGTAGAGGATCTGCTCCCGGCATCGTACTACAGCTCAACGTTACTTGGCATTCAAGCAGATCAGCGTGTGATGCAAACATTAATAGCCAACTATTTATCCAGCGTAGATGAATCACTTAAGCGGCACGACATTGATTTGTCACTCATAACACTCCACTGGTTCCTCACCCTGTTCGCGAACGTAGTGCATATGAAGATATTGGTGCGCATTTGGGACTGGTTCTTCTACGAGGGCTCAATTGTACTATTCCAACTGACACTGGGTATGCTCAAGGTGAAAGAACAGGATCTCGAGCACTTGGAAAACTCGGCACAAATCTTTAATTCACTATCTATGTGTTGCGAGGTGGATGACGTTGAGGTTCTTTTCCGGCAAGCGCTAGAAGTAGGCGGCTCGTTGAGCCAGACCGTAATCGACACGCATCGGCGTCGCCATCTGGCCTATTTGATGACAGATCAGGGTCATCAGATAGGCAATCCAGAGGTTGCGGCCAATTTGCCTAAACAGCAGCTATCCAGACGTCAAGTACGTAAAAGTAAATCAATACTAGAGGCATTTCTATTTCGTGGAGATCCCGAATCGGATCAGCTAAAGAACAAAAACATACGTCAGACCGAAATACTGGTAGATCTGCGCGAGGCAATTTTAAAAGTGGGACGTCACTTCATTACGATCGAACCAAAACTGGCAGGTCACATTCAACTGACGGCCAACTACAGCAGCGAATCACATGCCAAGGATCACGAAAACTTCATTAACGTTGCCCGCACTCGTAAACGTCGGGCTAAGGCGCTGCACGACTTTGAGCGTCACGATGACGATGAACTGGGCTTCAGACGGAACGACATCATCACTATTATTAGCCAAAAGGACGAGCACTGCTGGGTGGGTGAACTGAACGGCTTGCGTGGCTGGTTTCCAGCGAAGTTTGTGCAGCTGCTAGATGAGCGCAGCAAGTTATATACCTCAGCTGGCGATGATGCAATCTCGGAGACTGTTACAGACCTTGTTCGAGGCACTCTGGCACCAGCTATTAAAGCCTTCCTCGAGCATGGCATGAAGCGACCCACATTCCTAGGCGGTCCCATTCATCCTTGGCTATTCATTGAAGAAGTTTCTTCCCTGGAGGTGGAAAAGGACTTTAAGTCTGTGTACAGTCGTTTGGTTCTCTGCAAAACGTATCGCCTTGATGAAGACGGCAAGGTGTTGACTCCCGAGGAATTGCTCTATCGCTGCGTGCAAGCGATTAATCAAACGCACGATAACGCACATGCCCAAATGGATGTCAAACTGCGATCCCTCATCTGTCTAGGCCTCAACGAGCAGGTGCTGCATCTGTGGCTTGAGGTGCTCTGCGCGTGCCAGGAAGTTGTGCAGAAATGGTATCACACCTGGAGCTTTATTGATTCGCCAGGTTGGGTGCAAATTAAATGCGAATTGCGCATACTCTCACAGTTTGCCTTTAATCTAAATCCCGACTGGGAGTTGCCTCCAAAACGTGGCAAGGAATCGCAGCCACTAAAGGATGGTGTACGCGATATGCTTGTTAAGCATCATTTGTTCTCCTGGGACTTATGAATCGGCTGGTCTGAGGAAACACGTTGCATAACTTTCTACATCCTTTTTATATAAATTTGCATAGCGGTCTTCATTGAGAATGTACAATCATGCACGTTGCCTAAGCCACCTAAGTATTTAATCTGAACAAAAAATCTATGCAGGAACTATGCTTTTATATCTCATTCTTTTATCTATTGTGCAATCTTTTTTAAGAAACTTTCATCTTCGGCGAACCGAAGCAAACATATCCTTGCATATTCTGTGCAGATAACACCTAACAAAGAACGTGTTGCAAGGATATAAAATAAGCTTGTTATAAACCTCTTTGTTGTACGCTTATCCTTATGTTAAGGCATATTTGCATATAAATATAAATATAGTTCTTGCTATTTAATTACTTAAAATTATATCCATCCATATTTTTAGCTCCCACACAAAAAAAACTGCACACACAGAATTGTACTAAATTACAAAATAATGTACCTTTGACTTTAAATCAAATCTTATAAGTATTTATAATATATATACACCTAGATATTTAACAATCTAAAATGCATTTCATTAAAGTTTAATATATATATATACAAATATATAGCAATTGTATACTTTTTCACTTCTTAATTGCAGACCAGACCCAAATAATCATCCATCAGGGTTCCTATAGCAAACTGTGATAAAATGATTAGATATAACAAATATAAACAATTGTGTTACAATCCACTTACAATGCCAGTGGCGTCCACACGCGTGCCCACAATCTTGAGACGTATTTTATCCTCACCAGAGATGACGACATCTTCGTCTTTGGACTTGTAGCAGGGCGGATTTCCATTTGGACAGAATTGCATGTCAGCAGGAATTGACTAAAAAGTGTCATATGTTATTCACAATGGCAATGCAAACAAACTCCCAACAGCTTACATGGTGCGATATAAAACATGACAATGGTCCGATTTCGGCAAACATTCCTACTTTGTTGATCTGCTTGACAACGGCATCGAGGACTTCTCCTTTGAAAGGTCGGAACACTATAGCTTTATATTTTACTGGATATACAACAAAACCTTGGCCTGGCTGTATCACACCGGAGCCGATAAGGTCTATTGTTGTGACTGCTATCACGAAGCCATATTTGCCCGTGCACGTTCCTTCCACCTCCGAGTAGAGTTTTTGCTTCACCGTCTCCAACAACTGAGGGCCAAAGTAACGTGGATGTAGCAGAATCTCGTGTTCGAGCGATATCTATATGGAGAACATTAAGCATATGATGGAACGCAAACTGAGCATTACAACTTACGTGATAAAACATGATTATATTTATTATTATTATTGTTTAGTTATAAATTAAAGAAATTCTGGAATGCCGAAAAAAGACGCAAGCAACAAAACATAAAATGTTATCGATAAATAGTAATGCCGGCATTACATTTCATTATAAATACTGTTATCGCTATCGATTACTGGCAAGAGCAATGCGGAAAACTGTAACAAACATTAAAAGGGCGGGCTTTTCGAATGATAAATATTGTTCATATATTTAATAAGTATACAAAGCATATACGCAGAAGTTTTAATATTTATTTTTATAGTAATCTTAACACTTTAAAAACTGAAAAGAAAAATATATTCACCCATCGCAAGTGTCTTAATATCTTAATCCATACCAAAAGAAAACTTGTATTATACTCTTTTGCTGGCAACATTTCGCAACATTGTTAAATACTGTAACAAAAAGAAAAGTAAAACTTTTAAAAACTACATATTGCACAAATATATTTAAGAAGTCTATAAAATTCATAGGACGCAATTCTTATCGCTATTTAAATTTGTAACTAAACACATTTTAACACATACAAGCATAATAAATAAAAAGTTCTAAACCCATCACAAAGATCACTTAACAGATTACATTTTACGCGGAACTACTCTTCCTTCAAATTTAATTGCAGCTCATGTGCAGCACCTCCTGGCCGAAAGATGCTCACATAGGCTGATTTAAATCCAAATTTCCAAATGGCTATGGTTGGCAAGTAGTACATAAAGAGATCCAATACCCAAACTCGGAAATTAAAATACCAGCGCACAATTTGGTACTTGTGCAAGTAAGTAACAATAAACAGACCATAACTAACTATAAAACGATCCCACCAATTAAGATCATAATAGTATGACTTTTGCTGCGGATCAGGCTGCTCGCCTGCAGGATAATCAAAGCTGTAGTACTCATAACCCTTAACGTACGCCAGACGCTTGGTCAAGTAAATATTTGCTCCGACCGAAAGCATAGGATTTGCATGCCAAAGCCCATGAACTAGTGCTTCGGTCATTTGATGAAATTCCTCACTAGTGTGCTCTAGCGCCGGCCTATATACTTTATGCATAACAATATTTAAACGCTCCCTGGATTCTTCCCAGCTGTTTCCACAAATATTGTAACAATCCTTAATTCCCAGCAAATAACCCAGCACACGCCACATATGCGATGTGGCCTCAAGAAAATCGTCATCTTCAAGTGATATACGATGCGCACCCAGCGTTATAAAGCCAATGAATCCAAATTGTGTCAAGGCCAAATCCTTTTGTGTTATCTGACCGCAACTTCGTCGCTGGCAAGCCTTGCTTGAGCGAGAATGTGCCTGCCTCACAGCCGCAATGCTCGTCCACAGTTTGCTGGACCTATCATCAATCGAGTGGAAATACCAGGCGTGCACATGGAAAATAGTGCGTAAATAACGGCGATAGGCACTAAGGGTATTCGATGATTGTCGCGTGCAGATTAGCACACGGAGTATCGATGGAATGGCAAGAACCGCAATTAATCCAGCCAACATGCCCGAGGTCATCACAAAGCGATATTTCCTAAAGTACCCCTGGCCCCTGTTTATGGGCAGTTTATAATTAGATATTTACAGAAAGTTTGATTGATTTGTGTCGAAACACCACTCACCGCTTGAATAGCTGCTCATCATACCATGGCGGCAGGTCCAATTTTGCTCCGCTATCGCCTTCTTTGCTGCCATTTGTTAAAAGGTTCTGTAAATAATTCTCAGCACGTTCATTACTGCCATTCGACATGGTGTCGATTTCGTGTGTACGTGCCACTGAAATAGTTGAAACCAAAGTAAAGCAGACATCATCAATGCATACAACAACCAGCAAAAGAGAAAGTTATTTAAAAGCCACATTTTTCACATGAACTTACAGACGCGTAGTATCTGGACGACGTTGTTTACTTTGCGTTGCTTACAAAAGCAAACAAAATTTTTGTACACTTTTCACAATCTGCAAAATGTACACTTTGGGCAATTGAAGTGTCCGCAATTGAGCAATTGATGCGCGCAAGCTGGCTTCAGTAACACTGATTGGTACGATCAATTTTAATAATATACGACCGGTTTGTGAGCTCTGTAACTCTGAATATAGGTGTGAGTGCACGTGAGTAATTACAGCTAAACGCGCCAACTGTTCAAAATTTTAGCGATAAGCTAAACTATTAAATTTTTATGCAAACAAACTTTGGAAGAGTTGCCATCTGATTCACATTTTACAAAAGTATGTTCGCATATTATACCATAGATTTTGCTATCGAAGTTTTTATGATTACAATAATAATAATCGATTCTGAAAACCTTCAGTACATAATCTATAGTTTTCGTTTGTTTTTTAAGGTATTTCATAAAAATGGTTTTGAAATAAAGCAATTTAATAAATTATGTAATTAATGATATTTATATATATATGAACTAAACTCATTAAATACACATTATAAAAAATTTAGTGAATTACTAACTTACTAAGACATACTACGCTAGATAAATTCTCATAAATTGTAGATTATATTATAGCATATACTATTAGACTATCAAGTATTGCTATAGATTTAACTACACCTCAACATACCTAAATATCTTATTTGAATTTAAGTTATTCGAATTGTATCATTAACAGTTGAATATGCTCTGTTAATGTTAAGTGCAGAAGCGCTATTCCTGTTAATGTACAATTAACTGAACTGCTAATTTACCTTGTCGACTAAACAGTTTAATTTAAAATTTCATTATCGTTGTAACATTTCATTTTATTGTGTATAAGCCATATTACAATATTGTTCATGAATTTTAGAATATAAGTATATAAAGGACTATATCGCAACACCAAGTGCATGCCAACATGTTCAAAACATTTATAATCAATTTGGACTTAACACTAAGCATACTCTTTGCACTTACACATTTAAAACTATTATTGTTGCATGTGTGAGTTGGCAACCAAGGCGCAAGTATATAAAAAAGAAAACTTGGTCTCCAATTACTTGTAACTATTATACAACAACACCCTTGGATGGCTTGGCGCCCAGTATATCGGATAGTTTTTGCTGATACGTAGCCAATAAATTGACGTCGGTTATGCCACACGCCTTGCAGGATAATTGCAATGCATTCAGCAATTGCATCTCTGAGAATTGTGTGCCGCGTTCCAGCAACGCATTTAGTATTTCCTGCGAGCAACAATTGATATTAATATATTATCTATTTAATTACTACACACCCTTACATCTGGTTCCATGCAGAGCAGCTCATAAAAATGTTTCGCTTGATCCAAGGCAATCTCTCTAGACGCAGTAATGTTGCTCAGCGTTTGCTGCAGCGCAATCGAATTGCGACACATGCGTTGCACTGTAATCTGATCAATATGTTCCAAGTAGTTGGAAGCCTGTATAAGTATGCGTGCTGCCAGATGAGCTAACCCCTCAAAAATGTACTAGAAAGAGAAAACGGATGAGCTAGACAGCCGTTTGCAGCAAGGGTATAATTATTACCCTTGTTTTGCGTGGATGTAGCGTAGCACTGAATGCCTCATCCATTTCGGACAAACGTTTCGTCAACACTAAGACCTGACGATCAGGCTCCAGTATATCGTCCTTAGATCCCACATAGCTGTTGGTTCTGACGCTCGACTTGGATCGCAAATAGTGAAAGCATTGCACTCGAACCTCCAGGTGCAGTACTAATAGACACGTGTTGGCCAGTTCATCGAATTCTAAGGCCAAATTAGTCATCACCTTAATAGTGCCATCCTTGATGGCTACGTTTGCCGCGCACTCGGCCGTTGCTGTAGTCATGCCATTGACCAAGGGACGTCTCAGCTCATTGGCAAATTCTGAGACACGACACGAAAACCATTCCATGCTCTCCTGCAATATTGCCAGCTCCTTAAGGACGCTTATGTCAGCCAGAATTTCCTGCTGTGTTATGCCGCCTTCACCCAAATTGCTTGTTAGCATTTCGGCCTCACGTACATTGCGTTGCTGCACTTGCAGTGGACTTTCCTCCTCAGATGGCTCAAAGTTTCCACGTTGCAATTTGCGCGTGTGCCTAGCGCGTTGGCTGGACGTCTTTAGATCCGTCCAATTGGGCAGAGTTCTGAAAGAAATGAAAACAAAAATATACTAAATGCATTGTTATCCCAATAAGTAAAAATTTTACTTTAAGAAACGACTTATGTCTTCGTCCTTTAGCCAAGCCACACTATATATGCGTTTGTCTTCTGAATCCGGCTGCACAATACCCCTGTAGGCTGTCTGGCATATCTCGCGATAGGCCTTGAGAAGCGCACACACCATCTTTAGCAGCTCCTCCGAGTAGCATGGCAAATCTTCAATTAAATTCTTTGTCTCCAACAGACGACGCTCCACCATAACAGTGGACTGAAGTAGGGGTCGACTTAAATTTAGACTCTTCATCTCCTCGGGCGTTACAATGGCACGCCAGGCATCCTGATTTTTTGACAGTGACTCGATAGTCAACTGCAAATTTCGATTGTGACCCTTGGATAGGAATGTATCCTTTATATAATTATCCACGAAATCATGCAGACTGCAGGGTTGACTAAAATACATAAAAGTGATGCATTAGCTTTGAACGGGATGTGTTATAATTTGTGAGCTTACCCTGGCTTACATTTCATAAAGTTCTCAATCTCCTGTATATAGCCCATTAATGGCAAATACACCTTGGTGATCACATTCTGATCGGGCGTACATATTAACAGCTTTTCTCGCGGTTTCTTCTCATGTGGCAGCAGACCTGTCATAGATCCCTTGCCGCTGCCTAGATGATTAACACCCAAATTGTCATCCACTGATGTATCCGATGCATTACGTCGATGCTCCTTGAAAGGCTCATTCGTACTGTTGCTATTGTTGCCCACATTTCCGACAATGTGCGATGACTTGTCAAACTTGAACATTGCCTTTTTCGTGCTAGCAATGAAAAAAGAAAATGCGGTTACAATTATTTTGTTTTTAAATAATACAAAGGAACTACTAACCTTGGAACTTTCCGCCTTAGGAAATAAGAGTTAATATTGTTTATGGGTTCCACAAAGCCTGTTTGCGCGCCCTCATCTGCCGATGAATTTTGTATATCTAAATAGTCCGTGAGCAACAGTTGTAGCTGACAAAAAAATATATATATTACTATACAAATGAAATGTACATATGTATATTAAATAATGACGCATACCACTGACTGAGCTTGCGCCCAATAGTCGGTCAGATCGTAAGGCTGTGGTCCCACGACCGTATACTTTTGACCCACAGCCAGGTAGTTCTTCAGCAGCAGCGTATGCGTCTGGGCAATAGCTTTGAACTGCTTGAATATGATATCCAGAAGATTAAGCAGCGGGTTGCTATCACCTGCACCACCTTGTAATGCACCACCAGCTGCCAATTGATGTGTGGTCTGTCGCACCACGTTAAGCAACTCTGTTTGAATTTGGACTCGCAGAGTTTCCAACGAATCCGGCACCTTGTGCAGCATGCCAAAACATTCCACAATAATGGCAATAAAGTAATTCATGCTCAGTTCCGGATCGATAAGATCCGCATCCTCTATGATCTCCGCCTTATCTAGATCAAAACCTTGAGCCATTTCACTTAATGCTTTGCGTACACGTGCATTGGCCTCAATCCGATCTGTTGAGCGCCGAGCGCCAATGCCACGAGTAAAACTGGAATTCAACCGACTCGAGTTGCTGCGCTGAAACGCCTCATTGGCAGAGTTCTTATACACCTGCGTCACTAGCTCCTCGTGAAGACGCTGATAGAGCTGTTGCCGGCGCGTTTGTAAATCGGTACGAAGATCGGCCAATCCCTCAACGCCAGCCAACGGGCCACTGAGCGTGCCTAAAGCATCTGTCAGCGCTTTGCTGGCATGCAAATACTGACGCTTCGCCGTAAAGCTGACCACACGTTGAGGCACTTTTCGTAGCTCCTGACTGTAAAACAAAGCGAGTTGAGAATCGCATTTCACTAGAATATTTCCTACTCACATCTGCTCTAACATCTCGAGCACATACTTGTGCTGCACAGCATCCGTCCACATCTTTTTAAGTTCATCGCGACGGCATTGCAACAGCCGCTTGCAGGCACCCAAATTCTCCTTGACTGCATGGATGCGCTCCCGACTGGCAGTCACCTCTGTGGACACTTGGCTAAATAGTGGCAGTACTTGGGTCAGCTGTTGATCGTGGCGTGAAACGAGTTCGTTTAAACGCAAATCCGAACGTTTGAATTCCTGTTCGATTTTCTGCTTCTCCTTTTGACGCTCTTCGGTCGTCTCGCTGAAGCCCAACGATTTGATGACGTTGACGAGAAAGCCACAGCCGGCGGACTGGAATAACAAAAACAAACGCACCAAGCGTACACGCCCAGCACAATTATAATACGCGACTTCGTTATTATGAAATATCAAAGAGGGCGTGCAACAACAACAATGACTACAACACAACAACAACTACAATGTAAGTCCGCATCTGAGATGGTGGCGTCATCGGCTTCATTACCAAGTGACATTTATGGACAGAAATATGTTGCACCAAAGTCTTTGTAAAGATCGTGCCTAATTAAACCTATTACAGTCGGTTTTTATGAGCTTATAAGCTTTTTTAGCGATGCCTTAAATAAATGTACCTCATCCTTTCCATATTTAACGCCTCTGGGCGGCTTTGTTGGCGGCGGCGCGTCCATGCAGATGTGATTAAGTTTAAAGTTACCCGAGAACGTACTTCCTACTGTAAAATTAATTGATTTTAGTTCTTTTTATTATTTTATAACATTTTGTGTTGCAAATGTTTTATTCTTCATTAAATGAGTTGCTAAAATTCACTGATATGGCAGCCCTCTGCCAGTGTGACCCCAAATGTGTAAAACAGAATTTACGTGTCGTTAGTAAACATGTTGCTAAGTGAGTAAAAAAATTATCAGCAGCATGTTTCTATATCAGACGACTCTGTTACGCGCTGGATTGATCGAGATTTTCGATTAGTATCGAAAATTGTTTTCAAAAAAATGTTAAACCGTAAAAAGAAAGTGTCATTTGCTATTCCCATTTAAAAAACGAAAACCCCTGATTACATTAAATTAACAGTTGAGTTGTTTCGAACTTTCAACTTTATTGTTTTACTTTTTGCTACATCTTTATTAAAGTGCGTGAATTATTTTTGATTTTGATGTCTAAAGCATTTGCATCACACTAAAAAGCCAAT